ATTATTATTCTTACACAATCAGTTCTTGTTTAGTAAATCAGTCTCAAAATGAGATCAAAAAGACTTTTTGGCTGGATATAAGATTTTAAAACTTGGTTAGGTGGACATTTTTTAAAATGAACAATTAAAACAATACAAATAATATTAATGTTACGTCAAAAAGAGAGAAAAAAACACAACACAGCATGACCAAATAAAAACGTGCAGAAAGAAGAAAAAAATTGTGTAACATCTGCCCCCAGTTTAGTGTATGATTAATGTGTTTACAATAGTTTAGTTGTAGAGCAGAAATTAGAACTGATTTTGGTGCTGAGAGAACTTGGTAAACAGCCTTGAATGTGGCATTTGGTGTTGGCTTTGATTGACAAAGAAAAAACTTGATAAAAGCCATGAACGCACCGATACCTGCCCGCCCTGAAGGGGGGAGGGGGGAAACGGTGGGGTGTTCCTTCTCGTTTACACATTGGCTTTTGTTAACACTTCACATTGAAATTGACTCTGACTCGATGGAAGGAGGAAGAGGAGGAGAAGGAGGAGGAGGAAGAGGCAGGAGGACGTGTTTCACAGGCCGAGAGAGAGAGAGAGAGAGAGAGAGAGAGAGAGAGAGAGAGAGAGAGAGAGAGAGAGAGAGAGAGAGAGAGAGAGAGAATCGGTCGGATTGACAATTTCCTGATGGGAGGTGCTGCTTATCAGTTCCCCCAAATCTCTTCAACTAAGGCGGTCAGAACACACAGGAGCTGCAGGCGAGCAATGGATCAACTCTGAGATCAGAACTTCATCTGTAAATCCCTCCAACCTGAACTGTTGGACTTATTATCATTTTATTTTTGGAGATGTCAGTCTCTAAACAAGCAGGTAAGAAATGTATCCTTTATTCTCAGTGATTTCATTGTTTGGTTAAGCTAATTAATGTTAAATAATTAACTCCTGACTGAAATAACTTTAAAATGAAATGAAAACGATGCATTTGGGTTAAAACTAATAAAAAAAGAGTTTCATTAATTGAACGTTTTGGTTTAATTTTTTAATTTGCATCCCAAATTCTCACCAAACAATGTGAAAAGTTGTCAGTTGTCACAAACATTTACATCTCTACATGTTTTTTTTTTTAGAGTTTGCTTTGAAACTTTCACTGGGCAGTTGCGAAATGTGCACCTTATAAAAACCAAGCGGCTTTTCTTGGAGCAGAAGTTTGAAAGTATGTCAGGACTATCTCCTAAATAGGAAGTAAACAAGATAAACAACAAATGGAATTCTGGGTATTTTTCCTATTATGATCAGTGCAGACTCTCAATTATTTTTTTTCAACACACACACACACACACACACACACACACACACACACACACACACAAAAGCCTTGTGGGGGATTCCCTGCCAGGTAGGAAACACAAATACAGTGGATGGAATGAAGAATGCAGCTGAGTCAGCACTAATACTGTACTTACATGTGGCATGCCTAAAATAAGACATTTTGTTTTCTTCTTTGTTCTTGCAGCTCTCATCAGATCTTCTGGGATGATTCAGCGGAAGAAGGTGGTGCTGTCTGTCCTGCGACAGCTCCAGGAGGCCGTAGAGAGCGCAGGCCTGGACACTGTAACCAGAGTGGCCATGCACGTCCACCAGCTCCTCACTCCTTTCCAGCTCCCAAAGACCCCCTTTCAGGATTTTCCCGAGTGGATACATGTGGACAACACAGCTCATGGTTTATACCCAGCTGATGCACCTGTAGGTCTCCTGCCTTTGAGGTGTAATGGAGAAGGCAACCTGCTGTTCGATGCTGTTAGCATGCTGCTTGTAGGCAACACTGGGTTGAGCTTGGAGCTACAGGTAAGCAGACGTAGCTGTATACTTAAAATTTGTTACTGTTCTGTTCAATTTTTACGATTCATCATTTTAAACGCAGATTTCATTATTATTGACCCTCATAGGTAAGAACTGTGGTGGAAATGGCCTTGTGGAAGAGATACTATTTGGCTGGAATGATCGATTCTAAAATGATGCTCCAAGCTGTTCGCTTCAGTTTGTGCGCTGAAGAGTCTGAGGACATGCTGAACCTGCCCGTAACCGTCCTGGAGGCCATTTTTGATGCTGATGTCAAAGCCTCCTGCTTCCTTGGCTCCTTTGCTAACATGTGGCATGTCTATGCTCTTTCCTCGGTTCTTCGGTTCAACATATACTCCATCTACCCCATGTTCAACTTCAAGATTCGACCCTACTTCAACCGACTCATACGCCCAAGAACCTGGCCCGAAGTCTCAGAGCCACACACCATACACATAATGTGGTCTGGGGAGTTGCAGTCTGATGCATTGTTCAAGCCTAAATATTTTGTCGCCCTTGTTCAGGCAAACAAGCCCATTTCTGGGACCCCTGAAAGTGAGCGGAAGGTGCCTCTGCCTAATAGCGAACCAAAGCTGAACCAGGAGTTGCAGTTTTCTCTCCCCACGCCAACAGATAATGTCACCAAGAAGACCTTTGATTGGAGGAAGAAGACCCAGGAACACCCCAAAAAATCGACAGCTATGTATGAGGCAAAACATTTCCTCCAGGCCTGCTACTTAGAGGGTAAGCTCGTCCCTTTGCACAAGTTCAAGGAGTTTTTCCCTGAGATCTCAAGGTCGTCATACTACAACTGGAAGCACGATCTCCTGAAAACCAGAGGTAACTTCTCCACTTCGTCTTCCACGGGGGAGATAAGTCCTGGAGAGAGCACAGAGCAGGAGGCCTGGTCCTCACCCGAAGCAAATCAACGTGAGTCAGACCATCATGAGAGCGTGGCCGGTCTATTTGGCCTTGACTTGAGCATTCTGGATGCAGAGCGGGCTCAGATCCTAACACACATGCAAGATGCTAAGCGCTGGCTTCAGAACTGCCTCGCTGTGAATGCTTCCTTCCCCTTCAGGATCTTCAAGAAAAACTTCCCAGGAATCTCAAGATCAACCTACTACAACTGGAGGAGAGAAGCCATGCTCATTATTGGTGGCCACAAAGGCAACATTGGCAGCAGTGAGGACAGTTCGGATGCTGACAAGAGCCAGAGCCCAAAAGATCAGTCATCGGTGCTGCCCGGCACTGACCAGCCTGTTGTTCCAAGAACAAGGATCCAGAGACCGAAACACAGAAGTTTCATGATGGCATACATAAGCAAGAAACAGCTAAGAGAAGCTGCGAAGTTGCACGTTCAGAAGTCCCACTGGTCCCTGATGAAGTTCAAGCTGAAGTTCCCATACATGTCCTCATGTTTTTACTGGTTGTGGCGTGGCAACTTGAACCTCAAGGCCAAGCAGAGGATGATCCCCCAGATTGCCGAGACACCCAGAGACCCCGTCCCTCAGAGCCCGCAGATCACAAGCAATGACAACAAGATGATGGAGGGTCGTCAAGAGGTCCCGCATGTCGAGAACCCCAGGTGTGTGCAGAATTTCTCTGTGTCTGCTTTCGACGGCTCACATCTGAGGCTCCCCTTTCCCATAAGGCCGTCCACAAATGAGCAGAGGTTTTCAGCAGATGTCGTGGCTCTTGCCAACTTCAAGGCCAGAGCCAAGCTCTTCCTCCAACAACGCTTCCAGGAGAAGTCTTTCCCCACGTTTAAAGAGTTTCGTTCTTACTTCCCTTTCACTGCACGCTCAACGTACTACATGTGGAAGCGCGCTTTGTACCACGGGGTGTCACTGGTCCATGGGTAAAATGGGAAATGCCTTAATTACCACTTAAACTACCTACATGCTGTGAACTTCACATGTTAAACAAGTGTTAGCGGACTTAGCATCTAAATGCATTGTGCCCATCCTCTGTCTCACCATCTCAGACCAGTTCTTCCTCGTGGACATTTGCACATGTTAAAAAAATGCTGTGGGTCTGTTTAAAACCCTGCATTTTGCCCCAGAGGCAAAAGGCAGTTCAAAGCTGGGGCTGAGTGGCATTTTATTTAAAGCCCTCCTTCATTCTTTAAATTCTGGTTTTTTGAATTTGAGAGCTCTGCCCTTTATCTATTTTCTTTTTTGCTTTTTATTATTGTGTGTTCAAGCCTTTTTCTAATGTAAACTCTGCATGTAACAATCTGAGAGAAGAGATTTGTTGCAGTTTGAGGAATTTCCCTCCCCTCCCCCCCACATAAGTAAAGAGCTATCTGTATTTTATTTCCTGAGAAATGCCTCTTTTGTTTAGACAATCCTATTTTTTTTTCTCAGATTAATGCCACCACTCAGGGATTTACTTGACGCTTTGAAGTGGCCATGCAAGGATTTTTTTTTTTTGCATTTTATAGCAATCAAAGTTGAATTTTAGCACACTAGATTTGCACTAAAATGGTTCCCATTTCATTGTTGAATGTATCACTTTAACCAGTAAGCACACTCTGGTTAGGTTTTGAACAATTCCACTTTTAAGGAAAATACTTGAAGCAGAATATAGATGAATGTATTTTTTTATTTTTTTGTACACTTCATTTCAAAACTACCTATTTACRCTGGAAGCTTTGTCTTTTGGCAGCTTCTCTTTTTGTACTGTTTTGCAAACCGATGTGTGTTTTATTAACTTGTCAATGCAAAATCCCTGAATGATCCTTTTTCATTATACATTTATACTCCCATGTATTTATTTTCTTGTGTTTKGTATCTAATTTCTGTTAACACTGGCATTTATGTTAAGTCAGTAGATCTGTAGTAATAGACTTTGAATAAGTAAACTTTCATTAAATAACATTGAGCTTTGTGGTTTGTTTTAAATGTTTCTTTAAAAAACAGGTTCATTACTGCAACAATTTGCTGCCATGAAGTGTACATAACAAAGATCAAAGGTCATCTCTTGTCACCTGATGCTCAATAACATCCATAGACTGTAGAACTTTGGATTTGGACACTGTGATTTTGTACAGGTCTATAACCCCCGGTGGTGTTCATTCTTAAGCAAAGGGTTTCAGCTGATTCAATCTGAGGAAACCAGGTTAATTCATTTAAACATTTGGTGCAAAAGTTAAGCAGAAAAAAATATGAAGGCAAAATGTTTCGCCTGACATCTGAAGCCATTTGGACAAGAAAAAAAAAACATTGAGTGCCTTTGCAGATTTTCTCACCGTCTCTTCTGTGTTTGGCCATTGTGCTTATGTTAATGATGAAGAGCAGGAGGGGGAGGTAGGGTTAATTGTATGCATGCATGAGGATGGAGGTGTTTCAAGATAAGGCCAAGAACATCCAAGAGTTTTGGGGGAGGGATACAGATTGAAGGGGGGGAGGGTGTTTCTGTGTAACTTTCTGTCTGCATCAAAACCACCGTGTTGATTAAGCGAAACCTTTTCCAGTCGTTTGTTTTATCAACTGTGTTTCTAAATGGATTAAATGATTGGAAAATGCCCCTTTATTTTTACATTGTGAAAGTAAATTCATCAACAATGAAATGAAATCAGGCCAGGCACACACAGACATACGAGTCCCTTCTGAACTGGGACTGATAAACACCACATTACCAAAAGTTTTTGCTCACCTGCCTTGACTCACATATCAAGTGACCTCCCATTCCTATTCCATAGGGTTCAATATGACGTTAGTCCATCCTTTGCAGTTAGAACAGCTTCAACTTTTTCTGGGAAGGCTGTCCGCAAGGTTTAGGAGTGTGTTTATGGTGATATTTGACCACAAAAACACATTTATGGGATCACATGTTAATGTTGGACAGAAGGCCTGGCTCTCAGTCTCGGCTCTAATTCATCCCAAAGGTGTTCTATTGGGTTGAGGTCAGGACTCTGTTCAGGCCAGTCAGGTTCATCCACACCAGACTCTGCCATCCATGTCTTTATGGACGTTGCTTTGCGCACTGGTGCACAGTTATTTGTATGGGTGAGCAAATACTTTTGGCAATACAGTGTAGCTACATGCATTATTTTGTTCTCAGCTTCATGTCCTCCCCCTTATGGCAGAGGCAAAACTTTTTGCTTCCTCTTGGCATACAAAAGTACTGTACATTATACTTCTAATCTAAACACAATTACAGTTCTTCTCGGTTGCTTTTATACATTTCTCAGAATTGAAATTCTCAACTTAGTCTTCGCATCATTGGCTCATGTGCACATTAAGAAAACTTTTTTTTATTTCTTTGAGCAAGTTAATGCTTTGTTACATTTATGCAAATGGCTGCATTCAAATATCTGCTGTTTCCCACACTATCAGTTGCTTATGTAATCAATGTACATTATGTGACATGACTGAGCAATTTGACTGCCTTATCCATTCACAATGACACAGAGACTTGTCATTCTGGTGGCACTGGCATGTTCATTAACACAGATATCTAGTTTTGACAGATGAACTAAGGATTTTGCAGGGAATCTATGGTGTTATGGGGCTATTTGTACATTTTGACACTTACTGTTTTGCAAATGTCAAAAATTTGAGAAATGTAAATTCACTCTTTCTAGGAGATGCGATTTATCTGGATAGGATTTGATTTCCATCCATCCATTATCTATACCCACTTCTTCCTTTCAGGGTCATGGGGGTCACTGGTGCCCGAGGAATGTGATGTTTCTTGTTTAGTTTAAGTTAAACATGAAACATTGACGTTAATTACAACTGGCCGTTTGATGGCCACCATGATACTAATGTGGCCCTCTGTGAAAACTAGTTTTTTTTATATCACTTCAGTAGAAAAAAGAACTTAATATTAGTTTCTTAATTTCTTCATCATTAGTATTTTTTTAAGTAAAGAGAAAATAGAAAAAGAGGGAAAAGAGAGAAAAGGAATTAGAAAGACTGAAATAGAGTTTAGAAATATATTAAATATACACCAAGAAAACACAGGACCACACACCTAACATCTGTCCGCTCACCTAAAAATAAATGGACAAATACATGGATGGCATGCATACAGAGCCGGCTCTTTGGCATAGGCAAACTTGGCRGTCGCCTAGACCGCTATCTGCTGGAGGGGGCGCCGAACTGCAGAAGAAAAAAGTAATTATTTGTAATCCCTGGTTGTAACTCTGCTCAGCGCCCCYTTCAATTAKCTTTGTCTTAAAACACTATAATGAAGTATTACAGGAAAAATAAACTGCTCTACCCATAAAACATTTTCTCCCCCCAGTGCAGCAAACGCCCCCACCCTCTCTCTCTCATATGATTGACGTTGCACTGACTCGTCCTGCTCCGACACTCTGACGGGGGAGGGGCTAGTAGCACCTCTCAGGTAGCGCTTCTTGTTGACAAACATGTCATACATGCCATACATGTCAACCTCTTCGGACGTTTACCTGAATTAAAAGCCTCAAAAATCCGTAAATTTAGCAAAAAAATCCATAAAACTTGCACCCGCGGGGGTGTGGGTGGGGGTGTGGGGGTG